GACAGGAACGCGGCGGCAGTGATGAGGGGAACAGGATGCCGGCCCGTGACCAGCCACGTCTCGCTGGCCAGCTCCACAATCTGCATCGTTCGCGTTACCATCTTCTCCTTGTCCTCCACGAAAGGGGCAGGGATGTCAGCTGCGCGTTGAAACAGCCTGAAACTGCAAGAGCAGAGAGCCTGCCATTAGCATCAGCTACTGGGGCACAGGGAAGCATTAGACCTGGCTGCCCACGCAGCTGCAACAGGCGTGGGAAGGAGGGAGCCACGGTGCAGCACAAATAAAGCATGGACATACCCTGTCCCAGAAACAGACTCATATGACAGATCACCTCTGCTCCAGCCTCCAAGGTTTGATACAGCTCACTCTGCTTAGCCAACAGGGAGAGAGCCACCAATACCACGCAACACTTAAGTAAACTGAGAGCTACAGTAATGCCCTTTAGAGCAAGCGCACCCCGCTCCTGAGACGGGCCTTTGCTCCTATCACCTAGCAAAGCCCCTGCGCTGCCTGCTCTCCAAACTGAAGAGTAAGGGGCAGGAAGAGAAGAATCCCAGCCCAAACTATGACACAGGAGGCAAAAGCCACGACAGTTCTGTTAAAGCCACGTCAAACCCTCGAGTCGTTCCCTCCAGGACATCAGCAAGCAAACAGGGAGGTATTGCTCCTTCATTTGCTCACGTCCACCTCCTGGCTACTTTGTTATACTAAAATTGCTGGCCATAGTAAGAACTTGATGCCATTTTTAATCAAGGGACAGCAAAGTACACTCTCAGATCATGAACTGTAGGTGCTACCGCAAGAGTACCACGATCCAGTCTCAAGGGCTCTCTGTAAATATGCCGCCCCACTTAGTATGCAAGGCTGTGAACAATCCAAGGGAATACAATTTAGATGATCTGGGCTTTGCCTTCATGTCCTCAGCAAAAATATGCCTAGAAAATAGCACAGATCTCTGTGTGCGCTTACAGCCTTCTGGCCTGGCAAGGGCTGCATTTTAGAAGCTTTCCCCTACGTCAGTGTAAAATGCAGAGCTCTGAATTGCCAGTATGCAAGCGGTTATGTTACCTACTGAGGTGCGTCTTCGCCAGATCCATCAGACTCAGCGCTGGTACGGACAGCTCGAGCTCCTTCTGCACGCTCAGGTAGACGCTGGCGAACAGCTCCTTCTTGGCGTAAAGGAGGGAGCAGATCGTTCCCATCGTCAGGGGCCAGTTGTGCTGCCGACAAGTCACAAAGACGCAGCAGCCCCCCAGAAGCTCCTTCTTCTCCAGACTGACCAGGTGGAAGGAGGGATGTTGGAGAGCTCGCTGGAAGTACGACACAGCCGTTTCCTCGAACACCGATGGGAGCTGGAGGACTTTACAGAGGTCCTGGACCCGCTTGATCCCTGTGAGAAGACAACATCCTTTTAAGATCAGCTCAAGATATGCATCTCTCCTTATATACCTCTCTCCCTGATATCACAGCGCAGCCGGTATTCAGCCAGACTCGGGCAAAGGCACGAGAGCAGCCTGGCCGCTGCAGCCCCGTAAACTGCACACAAAGACTTTTCCCCAGCTCTCTTCATGCAGGTAAGGCAGTTGGCTGGCAAGCACCAGCTGGACGCAGAACTAACTGCTTTCTTCATGTTTTACTGCCAGCTCCCTATAGCTTTTAACTTATCACAACATTACAAATACATTATGCAAATTGGACTAAGGCAGCAAAGCAGAGACAGTATATGACTGAAACTGAATGGCAGGCTCTTACCTCGCTGCACACAGCGACTCAGCTGCTCTTTCTGGCCCGTGCTCTGGGAATAGGCCACCTCTGAAAAACAACAGGCGTTAGGCCAGGTAACCGCGCTCTGACATCCTGGGGACAGAGCCACTTAGATCTCGTGCAACCGGATGCCCAAGGGACCAGACTGCAGTTTCCAGAACTGGCAGTTCCTCAAGGCCACTGAACGAGGGCTGGCAGCACAGGCTCTCTCAGACAATTGTACAGGGGGTTTCTGGCCCCGGGCGCTCTCCAAGCTATCGCTTCCCTGCAGATGTTAGAGCAAACGGCCTCAGGGCTCCTGCTGTATTGATACAAGAGACTCAAGTGCCAAAAGCAGCCTAGCACGCGTTCCACACCTCGCACCAGCACAACTGCGCTACCAATCTGGCCCCATAAACAAAAAAAACCGCGCTGGTCTTTCGCTTGGGGCGAGAAGGGGGAAGCTGCGGACCCCGCGGGGCATCGCCACCTCCACGCAGGCACCTTGGCGGCCGCTGGCCCGAGCCGGCCGCAGACGGACGGGGGGCTGCAGGCGCGGCGGGGGGCGGC